GGTCCCTCACCCCCGGGGCTCAGGGGACAGCCTCGGCTCAAGTCCCTCATCCCCGGGGCTCAGGGGACAGCCTCGGCTCAGGTCCCTCATCCCCAGAGCTCAGGGGACCTGAGCTGGGACCTGGGCTGATTGTGGGGCCCCTACAGGGGGGGTCTCGACAGGCGACACCGGCAACCGGCGCTGCGACCAGCTTGGGCTCAGCTGGCACCAGGATTGCGACAGTTAAACCTCCGAGCCAGGATGAGTGAGTGAGCGAGCTGGCTCCTTACTGGGGGCACTGACTCCGAGCCCGGCTTGCTACGAGATGGAGCCTTGCCGAGCTCCTCTGTGTTCTCCGGGTGGGCACTCCGGAGAGCGAGTCCCGGGCTCCTGACCCCGGGAGGCGGCGGCAGGATGACCCTGAGCCTGGTGTCCCTGCTGTCCCAGGACCTCACAGCCCTGTGGCTCCTCCTCAAGACCAGCACAGGTGCGTTTCCTGGGTGGTGGCTGTTCCGGGAAGGAGGTGTGTTTGCTGTGGAGACGCAACTGGGCAGGTGCCGTGGGGACGGGAGGGGGGGACATCCCGCCTGTCGTCTCGGCGCCCCCACCCCAGCAATCTCGCGGCAGGCCGGGAGTCCACGCCCTCAGGGCAGCAGGTGGGTGTCCCCCTGCCTGGCTGGCTGGTGTCCCTGGGGGGCAGTCCCAGCTGCACCTGCCCCAGGCGTGGGTGACAGCCCCTGCGCTCGCAGAAGGCTGGCGGAAGCGTCCCTGCCGGCTCCTTTGTTTGAGATTTCTCACGGACGCGCAGTGTCGGCACAGGACGGGCAGCCCAGGTCTGGGTGGCAGGAGGGCTGCGGCTGCCTCCCTCAGGGGCCCTGGCCAGCCCTGCCCTGCGTGACGTGCAGCTCCGACCAGCTCCCTGGAGGGACGGTGAGGGACCGCGCCCAGGCGGCCGTGGTGTCATTTCAGCGCTAGGTCAGTCTTAGTGGGGGGGTTCTTCTGAGCTCGGTGCTGGCTTCAGGCCCAGGAGAACACGGACCTTGGCTGGGCAGGGGCCGTGCGGGGCTAGGGGACCCGGTCCTGGTGTGTCTCTGAGATGGGGACACTCGTTTTGGAGTGGTTTGTCAGAACTGCATTTTCTAGTGGGCATGTCTGCCAAGGATCGATGAATAATTCATAAACAAGGGTTTCTGAGAATGTCCGTGAATCAGCCTGAGCTGTTGGTGGCAGTAAAGTGGCTCAGCTGTCACTGAGGAGGCCATGGGCGGCCCCGCGGAGGCCTGTCTGAAGGGACTTCCCAGCAGGCAGATCGCAGCGACCATGGGCTCTGGGGGCCCCAGGGGCCGTCTGAGTGGGTCATTTTGAGCCTGGACCCGGGCACTTGCGTGTCAGAGGGGTTTGGATTTGTGTCTGAGGCCCATGTCCAGGTGGTAGCACCACGAACACCCCGTGCTGTGCAGAGCCTGCCTGTGGTCCCTGGCTCTCGGAGTGGCCAGCGAGGGGCGCCATCCACGCTGTGGTCCCGGGCTCTCACAGTGGCCAGCATGGGGTGCCGTCCACGCCGTGGTCCCGGGCTCTCACAGTGGCCAGCGAGGGTCACCATCCACGCCGTGGTCCTGGGCTCTCACAGTGGCCAGTGTGGGGCGCTGTCCATGCCATGGTCCTGGGCTCTCACAGTGGCCAGCAAGGGGCATCATCCATGCCGTGGTCCCGGGCTCTCACAGTGGCCAGCGAGGGTCACCATCCACGCCGGGGTCCTGGGCTCTCACAGTGGCCAGGGGGAGGGGCGTCATCCACGCCATGGTCCCGGGCTCTCACAGTGGCCAGCGTGGGGTGCTGTCCACACCGTGGTCCTGGGCTCTCACAGTGGCCAGCGAGGGGCACCATCCACGCCCTGGTCCCGGGCTCTCCCAGTGGCCACCGTTGCCGTCCACACCATGGACCCGGGCTCTCACAGTGGCCAGCGAGGGGCACTGTTGCTGTGGTCGTGGGCTCTCGTAGTGGCCAGCATGGGGCGCCATCCACACTGTCTGTTGGGTGCTGTGGCTATGCCGTGACTGTGTGCTCATTGTGGTATGGGGGATGAGAATCTTCAGTGTGGCCACATGGAATCTTTCTCTTTAATCGAAGTTTTACAATCTGCTTCTTCCGTGAGCAGGGTCTTGGGGTTGCCCTCGACAGGGTCTTCCTACCTTCACTCCACACCCATGTCAGGCAGCCCCAGATGTGCACTCACGTGGCACACGTGCCTGGCATGGTCGGGGAGGTCTCCAGATGTGCACTGGAGCCGTGAGGCCGGCCTCGCAGTGCCACCTCGACCCCGCGCCATGCCTCACATGCACTGGCTTTCCTGTCGTTCTCATTCCTGCAACGCCCCCGCTCCTACCCTGTGCTTTTTTACTTGCTTATTTCTAACTTACCACAAGGCAGGAGAGCTTCCTGGAGAGAGAAGGGAAGAGAACTCACCAGGGTGGCCACGCCGCCGTCCCTTCTCTCAGGACCTTGGCATGCTTGCACACGCGCCCGGCCTGATTTTCAAGCTGCCAGGTCCAGGACTCAAACCACACAGCCAGCCCTGGGGGCTCCAGCACCTTACCCAGCATGCCCCTGCAGCCCCTCGCTTTATCCGCGCGACAGTCACACGCGCAGGTGAGCGGCTGCCGGCCTGCGGGGAGGGGCGCGTCTCCATGGCCAGCGCGAGGGCTTCTTAGAGTAGGGAGGGGCAGGCCGTGGGCAGGATTCAGTCTTTCTTCTTTTGAAGAGACATTACTGCTATAGGGCATGTGTACTCGCTGGAGAGACAGTGAGAGACCACCCCTAGGAGGGATGGCAACGCTGCAACCCCTTCTCGTTCTCTCAGCATCTCGGGCACACGTGCCCGGCATGAGTTTTAAGCCGCCGGTCCAGGACTCAAACCGTGGTCGACCTGTGGGAGTTCAATGACGCAGTCATTGTGCCATGTGCGGGCCCCAGGACTCGGCCTTCAACCCGGCTGTGGTGTACCTCGGGGTGGACCCTGCCGTGGGTCTGCAGTGCTCCGCGACGACCACGAGGGCTCACTAGGACCCGCTGGGGCAGGTGGGGAGGAGCCGGGCCCGGAGCCGCGGCCGGAGGAGCATGTGCAGGCTCTGGCTGCCCTGCGGGTCTGGGCCCGGCGCGCACGGCCGCCCAGAGTCAGCTGCCCTGTCCCTGTCCAGCCGCTCATGGCATTGACATGGTGCTCTGGAGAGTGTTTTACGGTTTAGGAAGATTTCACAGAGCTCAGGGTGCCTGGGAGGAGCTTGGCTTGGGCGCGGCCGCACACAGGCCCCTGCTCTGGGATTCGTCCCGGTGGCCCTCCACACTCGCCCCTGCCCCAGGCTCCTGGCAGTGTGGGGCGTGCCGCCCGGCTGTGACTCTACCACCCGTCGCCGAGCCTGGGTTCACACTTCAGGGAGACGGGCAGCTCGGCCCTGAAGCAGACGTCTGGGTGTGCTGAGCAGGGGCCAAGCACTGAACCAGCGGTCCCGGCTGGGACGCCCCGTGTGGACCCACACCGACGCGTGGGTTTGCGGGGGCCGACTTCCCATGTGGCAGCCTGCAGCCCGGCCCGCAGGGTCTCTGCCTCGTGACCTGGCACAGGGGCCCCTGCCCTTCCCGCAGCGTGCGTTTAACCCCTGACCTTGGCGTGGCCGGTCGGAGACGTGGAGTTGACCAGGAAGCCGACCGGGGAGCCCTCGCCAGCCCCTGTGCTAGCCTTCAGGTCCAAGGTTGCCATGTAGCCAGAGGCGGCCGGACCCCGTGCAGCAGCCTCCCAGGAGCTCATTTGGAAATGCAGGAGAGCACACAGGCTTCCTGCCGGCTGACGCCCCTCCCTGCGTCCCGCTGCTGCCCTCACCGAGTCGCTGGCCTCCAGCTGACGCTCTCCCAGCACGGCGGGCGCTGCAGTCCATGCAGACCCCAACCCAGAACCAGCACCCGAGCACAGGGCACGTTGGGCATTGGGGCGTGTGGGCGCCAGGCCCCATGCCCCATCCTGCCTCACAGCGTCGGGCCTCCCAGCATGCACTTGGGGAGGTAGGCCTGCTACCAGGCCAGTCTCCTTGGTCAGCAGGTGCAAGCCCACATGCTGGGCGCTAGGCCTTCCCAGAGCTTGGTGAGGTCAGAAGCCAGCCCTTGTCTGAGTGAGGCCCGGCCCGGCGTCGCCACCCTCCCAAAGCTCCTCCTGCCTGCCCTGCCTCCGCGTCTCTGTCTCTGTTTTTCTCTCTCCATCTCTCTGTCCCCTCTTCCTCTCATACTGCATTTAAAAACTGGTGGTGACTCTGCTGTGAGACACGGGCACTCGTGTGGGAAGCTGCTGAGCCCTCCTCCCGCCACGTGGCTGCTGCCCTAGGCGTCGGGCCCTGCTGCCTGCTGTGTGGCCCTGGCGGAGCCCCACAGTGACGCTGCACCCGCTCTGTCTCTGCAGATGAAATCATGCACCAGGACATCGTCCCGCTCTGCGCCGCCGACATCCAGGAGCAGCTGAGGAAGCGCTTCGCGTACCTGTCTGGTGAGTCCCATCCGTGGCCGGTGCCAGCAGGCAGGGCTCCACTGCCCCAGGGGGAGCGGGCAGCTACTCCTGGGGGCCGCCAGGAAGTGGGGCACAGGAGGTCAGGTCCAGAGAGGGGCGCAGCACCGAGGCTGGGACACCAAGGTCCGAAGGCCCCAATGTGGCCTGCAAAGAGCCCCGAGCCTGGGCGCACCCCCTCCTTCGGCAGACTGAGTTCTGCGTGTGCGCCGGCTGCCTGAGCCATGGGCAGGGCCTCTGCTGAGGGCTGAGGACGCAGGAGCGTGCAGGTGCTCATCCTCACGCATCCCCTCCCCTCGTGCAGCCGGGCCTTCTCCCCTCAGCCAGCACGGCGTGCCTCCCTGGGCACCTGTGAACCCGAGAACTGGCCTTCCCAGCTCACCTGCCATACCCACTTGGTGGTTGGGTATGCTGCCGCTGGACACATGGCTCTGTGGGGTCTCGGCTGGGGCAAGATGGGGTTCACAGGCTGAGAATCACAGAGGTGGAGCTCCTGGGACAACGTGGCTTGCAGACACCAGAGGCTGCCCTGTGGGTCCACGTGCTCAGCCTCCCAGCTGCTGTGGCCTCTGGGTGCTGGTGTCCTGGCCCCACGAGGTGCAGCCCACAGCTGTGAGTGGGTGGCAGTCCTGTCTAGATGCCCCAAGAGGGCAGCCACCCAGGTCTGCCCCAGGCCCCTCACACCTTCCAGTCAGGTCGTGAACGGGCCCTGTGCAGCCACTGCCCCTTACGGCTGGGAGCCCGGGGAGTGCGGTGCTCCGCGGGGAGACCCGCGCAGCCCGGACCCGTCCTCGTCCTCCCTTCCAGCTCTCATGCAGCTGGCCGGCTGGGCCCAGCAGGGGTCTACATGCCACACTGTCCTCAGAGGGACTGGGGAGAGGGCCATGCTTTCATGCTTCGGAGTCCCCAAGGGAAGCTGAGGCCGGAGACCCACCCTGTAGCCTGCCATCGGCCTCATGCGTCAGTGCGGGTTCCCGGCCAATGCCAGAACCAAGTCCCGTCTCAGGAAAACGAAGGGCGGGTGGCCCCACAGCCTCCGTCCCCCTTGCAGCTGAGGCCCACCCTCCGTCCAGCAGCACACGCCCGCCCTGATCCCGGCTGGGGCTGCACAGTTTCCCAGTGGGTACTGTGGGCCCTGCCCAGGCCAAGGGGCCTCTGAGGCCCGTCCAGTGCTCACAGCCCTCCGCATATATGCCGGGTCTCTGCATCAGCCGCTGCCCCAGGCCCTCCTGCCCCTCTCGCCAGCTCTAAGACTCGCATGGCTCCCCCAGGGGCTCTAGGTCTCAGGGCACTGGGGGTTGTCCCTGGGCCGCGTCCACGCGAGGACTGAGTGGTCAGGAGCCATCAATACCTGCAGTGCCCTACCCCCTAGGGCGCCCGGGCCACACGGGGCCCCATCCCCATGACCACTCCAGACATGGAAGGGGAGGCAGTGGGTGGTGGGAGGAGCCATAGCCTCGCCAGGGCGCACACGGCGGAGGAGGCCTCGCCAGGGTATGCGCAATGGCAGAGGCCAACTGCAGTCCTCAGCAGAGCCCTGGCCACAACTCCAGGCTTGTCTGTGTGGAGTCCTTCAGATCAGGGTGTCTGGGGAGGGGACATGGGAGGGTAACGCAGCACCCACACGTGGCTGCTGTTAGCAGACAGTGACAAGGACTGTGTGTCCAGGACTGTGCCGTTCCATGCAGATGTGCCCAGGATGGGCTTGGAGGGAAATATGTGGCCATGCTGGTGGCTGCCCGCGGTGGTGGCTTCAGCTCACTTGAGTGTCCCGAGTGCTCTCGGAAGGGTGTGCTCTTTCACAGGGAGCACCACAGGGGACACGCCGGGTCTGAGCTGACGCTCTGGGTGCCACGGAGCAGGCTGGGACAGGCGCCAGCTCCCGCCAAAGCTGCCTCTCGCTCTCGGCAGGTGGGCGGGCCCGGGACGGAAGCCCGGTCATCACCTTCCCCGACTACCCGGCCTTCAGCGAGGTCCCAGACGCGGAGTTCCAGAACGTCATGACCTATCTCACCAGCACCCCCAGGTGCGTGTTTGGGACCTGCACCGAGATCGTCTCTCCCCGGGGTGGGGGTGGGGGGCATGACCCCAGCAGGCTGGGAGCAGGCTGGGAGCTCTCCCTGGGTCCAGTCAGAGTTGGGACCGTGTTTCCCGGCTCCAGAGCCGCTGTCTACCGGGGGGCTGGTCGCCGGGCAGGCAGGATCCGTGCGAGCACAGGGGGGCTGTATCCCTCCTAAAACGCCACCGGGTTGCGGCTCGTTGGACCAGCAGCTCTGTGATGGCTCCATGGACCAGGCTAGGGGCCACCGGCTCCCTCACCCAGCCCAGGAGGGCAGCCTTCGCCTTCCAGGAGGACACAGGGAACAAC